TGAGTGCTCGTTCGAGAGCATCCACGATCTCCTGAAACGGATCCGGGGTGCTCATCCTGCTGTATGTTCTTTGGTGGTCTGGTCTTCTGTAACAGAACGACTCAGAAAGATGATGGTCAGTTTGAACCGTTTATTAACAGCAGGGAGTGAATGAGCAAACAGATGAGTAATGCAGCAATGGATTGTAGAAACAGAAGGAGAGGTAGTAATAATACTGTCCTGTACTTTGCAGGTTGGGAGATCGGGGGCGCTGTGAAGAGGAGAGGAATCCAGGAAGGTAGGAGACGAAAAGTCCGGGAGTCGATGAATATCGCAAGGGAGAATAGGAATGAGTCCGTTGCTCAATGTGAGACCAGACGATGATTGGAGGTGAGATGTGTGTTTATATAGGGAGGTGATTAGTGATGACGAGCAGGTGTGTCCAGTTAGAATTCCAGGGAAGGTGCACGTTGTGATTGGGAGGTGAGAGAGCCTGGCTCATCCGTGACAATGGTACAGCTGCCTGTATTACTCAGAATTTTTCATGTAAACACCTTATTCAGAATCCATTACTGAACATTTATTCATACCTGTGCATGTCCAAACAAAGGTAACTCTGGGTGATACTACAGACAGTGTGAGAAGTCAAGCTGTTCAATGGACAAGAGTCTCATGACCTAGATTCTGCAATTCATCGCACTCTTGTCTGTTATTGTTAAAGACATGAATGAGAATTAATGAGCTGGTTAAATTACTGCCCACAATTACTAAACTGTAGCATAATAAATGACAAGAGCATCTCCATTATTTCCAGGAGAAATTAGCAGGAAATACAGAGAAGAGCAGGAAAAGAATATTGCCATTTAGAGGGGTCATAAATTGAGAAATCAAAATTTCCCTGATCATTTGACACATAAGAGGTCACTATATTATAAAAACATATTGTAAGTTTAAGAATTCAAAACTTTCTCATTAGTCCAAAAGCAGCATTTATTGAAACCAAGCTGCCAAAACAAATTTTTTGTACTTCCGGATTTTTATTACATAACAGAGATGAAAGCACTAAAAAAAAAGTTCTTTATAATCACCGGAGCTGTCAATCACAAAGGGCAAGCTCACTGACTGCACTCTTCCATTATAATCAATGATACAGACTACACTGCTCAATTAATCTCTTATTTACATTGTTGAGACCTGAAATACAGACACAGCACACTCCAAATCTGATGTTCTCACTCTGTTTTTAGCAAATATGTTTGAGGACAGCCGTTCAGGGAGAGTCATCGCAGAGTAAATCATGTGTGAGAGGCATTTAAAACTTCTTCTCTGTCAGTCGGAGGGGCTTAGAGTGGTTGATGCGTGGAAAGAAGTCAGAAGTGGTGCGCTATCAGAGCAGCGCGGAGGAGAATTGAAGCAGCACTTACTTTCACCTTAAATCTTTCTCAAGCTGAGTGTGTGTATGATTACGTGTTTGTTGAGGGAGGAGGCGTGGATCACTGTCAGCATTGCTTCCTGGGGGGAGATTAATAATTCATGAGACGGTTGGTGAGACTCAAAGATTCGCCTGGTGTGTCAAGACTTCGTTACATGTCTTTGCGTGTTTGTATGCCGCAGCGCAACACATAACATTCCCCTCACAGCGAGGATAAATGATGGGACCACTTCTCTTTTGTTCTCGGATCTCTTCATGAATATAAGATGAACTTTCTGTCTTCAGGTCTGTCACCACTGAAGCTTTGGAACGTCTCGAGTGTGTTAGACAGGCTGCTACTCAGCCTTTTTGTTTTTCAAAAAAAAAAGTCGGCAAGAGTTGTTCTAATGTTCAGACTAAACAAAATTGGGACGCGGTCAAAATGTCCTCAAAAATTCACCCCCAAGGTCCACCTCAGTGTTTTTCTATGAATGAAATGCTGTCAGACTAAATTACTTTATGATTCACAGGACCAATTCTGTTCAAAACTCAGAGCTGCCTTTGAATAGCTGGTCATCAGAAAGCAGACCCCGGCGGCCTCCGATTATCTAATGCTTTCTCTGTTGAGATGGATGCATTTGTTCAGTAGAAAAGTCAGGTAGGCAGTTTTGTTGTAGTACAGAACTGTATATACTACATATTGCACAAAGCATTTTCCTTTAGATGACGGATGACGAGTCAACATTGTTTGAAAGCACTTTTCTAAGCACAGTGTTATATTTCACTATGTACATAGAAAGCATCCTCATGGTTCTTAACTATTTATCGCTCCTTTTATCTCTCATACTTATCATCTGTTTTTGTCAGGAATCTTTGAGTTTAAAAGACTATTGATGATTATTGCATTCATTTTTGTGGTATGCATATCTAATGTACTTGTAGACTTTTTCCAAAGAAACTAAGTGTGTGCAGCTGAGCTTTGGTATGTGTGTGCGCGTTTGTTTGTGTGTGATCACGCAACTCCTTAATCACTTGTTCTTGCATCTATCTAATCAATGGTCTGTCAGTCTCTTTTTTTTCCGGCAGGGAGGGAGATTGATCTTCAGGAGTCGCCTCACACTCGTTACAATGTTCACAGTCTTCATTAACACCACCATTAGTCTCACATTGTTACTCTCTAACACAACAGCACAAACAACACTTTGGCTACAGCACGCATGGGGAGAGTGGAATAGACAACTTGGGAATAGATGCAACTTTTGAAGAGTGACTCATGTGCATGCACGAACATAAATGCAGATATACAAAAACAGATAAAACACAGTCAGCATATCATTTCATTTGATACATACATTCACATTTGTTTATATAGCAGATGCTTTTATGAAAAGCAACTTCTAAATGAGGAACATCACAAGCAATTTGTCATGAGAAGTACAAATATTTATAGTACACAACAGAGTGCTGCAACTGTGACTTCAAAACCCAGAAGACTTATTCACCATGGGTTCCCTCATGATTTTCCTATGGGTTTTTATAATGGGGTTTTTCAATTTCTAAATAAAACAAGGTCTGTGGTAACTTGATGATAAAATGCTCTAAATTACACACACTCGTACTGAAAACACAAATTTTGATGCAGCTATGCTTGTTTTTTTTTTTTTTAATGTATGTTTATAATATGTAACTACATAGGAAAACCCATAGGACATTCTGGGTTTTGACGTTATGGCTGCAGCACTCTATGCCAAGTACATATAAACTAGTAGAAATTATTGTGTACACAAGCTGAATTTAACAAAATTGACAGGATTTAAAAAAAAAACCTAATGATAAACTGGGATTTAAAAAATGGTAAAACAGAGAAAAGTTATGACCTAAAGTAAAGAAATATTTAACATTCTGCCCTGTTTCAGTGCAATATCATTAGGCATTCATATATAAAGTGTGTGTTCTAGCTACCTAGACATTTGCCTAGACATTGAGAAATACCAAATTCATATATTAACAGCATTTGTAATGTAACTTTTACGTATGAACAACTTTAGAGACATACAAATGTTTGCAAATAATTGTAAGTTGACATAATATCGGATTCATGGAATTAACAGTTCAAAAGCATGTATATAATATTATATAGTGACTAAAATGATTGTACAAGATCTTCCAATTCCTTTTTTTAATATTTTGGATTTAGACTAGTGTCTTAAGATTTTTGTAACATGTACCTGTACAAATTCATTTGTATTATATGTAGTAGATATACAGTATTATAATAAAGGATTTTTTGTTGTTGTTTTACATTTCTAAAGCTGTTAAGCATTATCTGCTTTCAGTTAATTTATACTGAGATTCAATTAATCTATAGTCCAAATTTACAAAAATGTATGTGTAAATTGTACAGAATAGTTATAAATTCTTGTGTTGCTAACCATAACATATCAAACAAATTTTTGACATTCACCATGTGGACTTCTTTGTATAAATGTTTTTTTTTGTGTCCGTTAAAGCACAAGAAGCTCTTTTGAACATTGTCAAATCATGCTGGAAAGCATGGATCAAGTCAACTTTTATTTATATAGTGCTTTTCACAAACCATGTTGTGAGCCTTATTTGTGCAACAAACTTGCCGAGTGTGGTGTCTTTAAACCATGAAGGACGTACCAAATGTGATGCATTTTCTCAAGTGGATTCTTGCACCCCGCTTTACCTACAGTGCAGTCACATTCACACCTGCTGAGTAAAAGAAAGATAAAGAAAGAGCACGGAGAGTAAAAGAAAGAGAGTGTTGTGGTGGAGACAGTGAGTGACCGCTGTAAGTGGATGTAACAACCTGCTGCTGTGAGAGAAATAAAAGCTTTAGTGTGGGTTGGGACGGCTCTTCTCCACTGAAGGGGAAATAACCCCTGCCTTCTCTGCTCATGTAATATTAAATATCTCTACTTCCACTTCTGTCTTTTCCCCTCCTCTTTCTTGCAGGGCATGTAGAGAGGGCAGCATTTGTTCTCCCTGTCTTTCATATCAGCGCTCTCTCCGGTTCCCTTACTCTCTCCATCGCTCTCTCACTCTCTTTCCCTGAGTGTGCGAGAGGAGTTCAGGCAGCAGCTACGTCAGCCGTCAGCGAGCAGCTGAGGAGAGCTGTGGAACTCACATGTGTGTGTGTCTCTCTCATCTTTCTCTCATAGTCTCCAGCTCATACCTCTACTCTCTCTCTCTCTGGAGTGCACGGCTGTGGCACATCCTGGGGCACTGACACGGCGAACGAAGCACCTCCTCTCACCATCTGCACTCTGCTCCTCAAACAGCAGCAGACCACAGCACAAACCAAGGAGAAAAGAAGGAGAGAGTGGAAGCAAAGGATTGAAGAGAAGAAGAGAGAGATAGGAATCTGAAGGAAAAGTGCGGAGGTAGGAGAGACTGATGGACAGAGTAGAAAAAGTGAAGAAATCTGAAACATAATTTCAGAAAACTGAAACAGAGATGAAGTGAGGAATGCAGAGCTGATAAATGTGAAACTGAAAAGAGAAATATTTGTTATAAATAGGAACGTAGCTGGGTCCGGGAGAGAATAACAACCTCAGAGAACAGTGTGGTAGAATATAGCTGGTGAAACGGAAAAGAGCAAAGGCTCAGGGAGAGATCAGCAGGAGGGATCAGAGTCATTTGCAAAGGACAGCCCTGGCCAACCACATGCCCATCGAATTTGTTTGTAAAATCAAGTTTGCTGAGGACGACGAAGCCAAGGGGGCCTCGACAGAAGGAGGCGAAACCGTTATGCTAGATGGCCTTCCGCGGCAAAAAGGAGGCATGGCTGACCTGGCGTCCTTTGCAAGCTCCTCTTCGCTGCACGGTCTGGCTCGGGTGTTGGGGACCTCGGGGCGCTTGGGCTTCAGACAGACCCTCTGGGGACTGGCACTGTTGGCCTCGCTTGGTCTCTTCCTGTACCAGGCGACATGGAGCACGGCGACTTATCTAGAGCGACCCCACCTCGCAGCTATGAGGGAAGAAACCCGCCGTGAGCTCAACTTCCCGGCCATCACACTCTGCAACGTCAACCGATTCCGCTTCTCAGCCCTCACCGACGCGGACATCTACCACTTGGCTAACCTCACCGGCCTGCCGCCCAAGAGCCGGAAAGGACACCGGCCAAGTGAGCTCCAGTACCCACCCCCTGACATGCTAGACATTTTCCAGAGGACTGGCCACCAGCTGGAAGACATGCTGAAGAGTTGCAACTTCAGTGGGCAGAACTGCTCGAGTGAAGACTTCAGCGTGGTGAGTAGCACAGGCTATGATTGGCTACCAGGATCATTTGTTTGGCTTGAAAATCATCTCTTGGTTTGGTGACTCTGAGCGAAATTTTATAATGCCTCCTTCAGTCTTAGAGACAGCTAACAGCTAAACGATTTGTTTGGAAAGAGGAAATTAAGCCCCATCCATCTGTGTCTAACCTCCATGCTGGGGCAACAGACTGCAACAGTAGAACGATGCAGTTATTTGCCATCTCAATTCGAGACCTGCCTCATTTCTCTCTCCCCGCTTTCTACGTCCTTTTCTTTTCCTGTTACATCATAGTCTGTCCCATCTGATGCCGAGTCTTATTTTGGCCAGAGAATGGATGAAAAATTCAGGAGAGGGACAAGCGACATGATTCCTGCATTAGCCCAGTCAGCCTTGAGGAGACATGTGCTCAACTGAGAACGATGCAGTTATTTGCCATCTCAATTCGAGATCTGCCTCATTTCTCTCTCCCCGCTTTCTACGTCCTTTTCTTTTCCTGTTACATCATAGTCTGTCCCATCTGATGCCGAGTCTTATTTTGGCCAGAGAATGGATGAAAAATTCAGGAGAGGGACAAGCGACATGATTCCTGCATTAGCCCAATCAGCCTTGAGGAGACGTGCTCAACTCTCCGAAGAAAGTTCTTTCCCTTACGTTGACTTTTTTTGCTTGTCACGATGGTGTAATTCTCCTTAGTTTTGCTGTTGTTGTTGCAATTCAGTCAGTAATTTCCTCTTAGGGCTCTTGCTATCAGTCTAAACAGGATTAGATACGAGAGATATCCGTGATATAGATCATGAGACTTCTGTCAAGGATATCAGCTCTCTCTAGAGTTCGAGCCCTCCTCATATAACTAATTTACTCCTTTTCTCTTCTCTGCTACCTCCTTCACTCTGATTAGTCTTGGTTTCTTATGTAGAGTTTTAAAATATAATCATTTACTGTGTGATTTCATGGGATTCAGCAGTGAAGGCTTAGGCAGGTGATTTACTTTATTATCCTGTTCACAAATTTGTTTGCCAGTATGTATACATTTTCATTGTGCCCCATTACCCGGGAGTTACCAGAATTTCTGGTTTCACTTTTCATATGGATATGCGCATCCAAATTGCTGCAGTTTTGTGCATATTGCTGACAGTCTGTTTTTCAGTGATTGACATTGTAACCTGCGCTTATTAAAGTATTTCCCATGTGTACTTAGAGAGCTATAGTCAAGAGACTAACATCCTATTCTACAGATCTAGAGTATTTTAAATAAGCTTGCATTTAGCAAAATCTTTGGAAGTAGTAACCTTAAAGTGTATTTTAATTGTTATATTATTTTAGAGATTGTTTATTTTTTATATTTGCATTATTATTTATTTTTCTATTGCCCCATTATAATGGGGAAAAAAGATTTTTATCTTGACACTTAGTGTCTGTCTGTTTGTATTTCTTTGGCTTGATTTACTCATTTAGATACATCAGAACAAATGTAATGGTAATCAGACTTGCTTGCACATTGGGGTTTAACTACAATGTTTATTATGTTGCAATTGCTAAAACTGCTGCCAGTTGCTGTGTTATCCAATTACCAAAGCCAATTTTTACTCACATTTGGTGCTTGTTAGTTAGTTTTCAGTGTTGTGGTATGGTTGTTCTGTTGACATTCTATTTAGTTTAACGTTAATTCTTTTTCATCTAAGAAGTCACTAGCGGCTGTGATCTCTCTGATGTCTTCAGATCTTGAACCATCCTCATTAGGCTCCTTTGTTGCTCAGTTACGATTTCCTGTTTTGTCAACAGGTCATGTAGTAGTGCCGAAACACATTTAATACAGTACCTGTGAGGTTAACACATCATAGATTTGACATAAAGCCCTTGTTATGTTCTGACATTGCAGCAGGATGTTAAAGCCTTAAAGTCTGCGGAATCTGAGGTTGCTTGATGCAGTAATGCATCTGTAGATATCTCATTGCACAGAGATGAAATAGTGCTGCTATAGTATTTGTTATTTAAAAATTAGGTCATAACTGCATTCTGCCAAAATGAATTTTAGTGTCTGTAAATTTGTGCTTTAAAATGGAAAGAAGTTCTGTGTGAGAAAGACTGAACATAAAAATCTTCTGTGTCGTCAATACAATCAATTGCTCAGATTGTTGTGCCATTATTGGAATGAGCTCTGACAGCCTATCTATTTTAAAATGTACCTGCCTGTCATGTAAAAAAAAAGGAACAATGATTGATGGTTTCTATACAGTATTGGATCATCCTTTTCCTGTGAAATCGAACAGTTCTTGTTGAGAATAATGCTTTAGTCAAAAGTCTGTTCTGTGTTACTGTAAACCACAGTCACATCTGACGCTAACCAGAAGTGCCAGATGTAAGCATAAACTATTGTTATCTGGGTAGTTTTTGTGTCTGTTTATTTACTGGATGATCTAGTGCTGAATAAATGTGCCTTCATTTTTTTCAGCCATCTAAAGCTTTTTAGATTAATATTCAGTAGAGATGTGAGATAAACTTCTCTACAAGCTAAATGCTCTGTAAGTTACAAGTTGATCTATCTGTTCTCCTGTCTTCGGAGATCGTAATGGCCCTTTTAATGGCTCTTACACAAAAATTGCACCTGTCTGGTTGTCCATCTCTTAGAATGAACCGATTAAAGAGCCTTTAAAATCATTATAATTTTTTTCAGTACCAAAAATAGACTGCTGCAAAGGCTTAAGGGTGACAAACTGTGCATGAACTCTTTGTTGACACCCTCACTGACCAAAAAAAGAATGTGTGTTATTATCCAACCTTATGCAGTCCACCTGGCACTTCTAAAGAATGACCATCATGTTATTTAGAATCAATGAACACCCTATAACTATGTCAGTTTAAACAGGATAAATTTTTGCCACTTAAAGCTAAACATGTAATTTTCAGGTGCATTAAATAATAATAACAACAATAGGCATAATAATAATGCCTTATTTTATCTTTTTGTTTCAAAATGCATCTTAAATACATATTTAAATATTTATGTAAATATATGTCTTAAATATTCCGAACAACCAACCAGAAATCTAGAGTACACCTCTTGTGACACTATGTAACGCCCTTGTGTCCTTATTTGGTTGTTCCTGTCCTCGTTATTAGTTTATTACCTTGATTGTGCTCACCTGTCTGCCCCTCGTTATCCACCCTATATTAGTTCCTGCCTCCTGTAGTCTAGTTTGTCGGTTATTGTGAATGTTACCCTGAGTGTGTGTTTCTCATCTACCCGTATCTGCCGTGTTGTCTCTACATTAAATATCCTTCTTTGAATCCTTGTCGTCCTCGTCATCCTGCCTGCCTCCACACACCGTGACCGTGACACACTAATGCTCCTGCCCTTACAAAACATATAAGAATATTCTGGAATATATAAAGCTATATTAAATTATACATTTACATACAGGAAACTATAGTGCTTATATTTTGTTTTATTATATACATTTTTTTATGTATTGCAATATTTGTGTGGACCATGTATGTAAATATATCACAGTGAAGACAAACCTGCACTACATTTTTTCCTCGCTTTAATGAAGCACTCGATTATTTAATTTCTCTTTCATAAGTTAACACGTGTTTAGATACAGCTATAAACTTACTGATATTTCAATTTATTGTTTACATAATTACACATTTCATATTGAAAATATATGTGATGTAGCCTATTAAAATGTATCTACACTGAAAATAAATAGTAAGGTATATTTCAAGGTTTTTTGGACAATTGGATGGAAAATGTTATATATATATATATATATATATATATATACACACACACATCACATATACATTTCCCTCATAGTTGTTTAACTCTTTGGCTTTCACAGAGCTTTTACAGTTCAGTTAGTTCAAACATGAGACATCAATCTGAGATAATGTTTCATTTCCTTCATTTTCCAACCAAAAAAACAGATTTTACTTTTAGTTTTATTTCTCATCTCAGAAACAGGTTTTCAATCTATGTTTCCTCTTAAATATATGACTTTATCTCTAATGTATTTTTAAGAAAAAAAAAAGAAAAGAAAACAACAAAATCTCCCAGCAGCAGATATGTCAGCTGTAGTCTCAGACTGCGGATGACTAATGTGTACGCAGTGGGTGATGTTAACAAACTCTTTGGCTTTCACAGAGCTTTTACAGTTCAGTTAGTTCAAACATGAGACATCAATCTGAGATAATGTTTCATTTCCTTCATTTTCCAACCAAAGAAACAGATTTTACTTAAATTCATTTGTTTTATTTCTCATCTCAGAAACAGGTTTTCACATGGAGGAGTAATTGAGGGCTTCTGGTCTAAGTCCAGGGAATGTGAATCATTTCTTCCGATTAACGTCACGAAAGTGAACTGTGTTGGACTGCTGTTTTTTTGTTTTTGATTTGGCAGAGGAGGTTTATCAAAATGTTCTGTGATATTTTGATTTTTGAATAGTTATGAGTTTCACATAGCAAGGTTGCCAAACACTATCAGTTTCGTTTTAGGAAAATAATAGATAATCTTGATATTTTTTAAAATCTTGACACAAATGCCATTTGAGATTTTTGTATAGTTTTGAACGATTGACATATGACTTTATTGCAGTAATTTATTGTAATAAATTAATTTAATTGTCTGTCCTCTCAAAGTGAGTTTGCTATGTGAATTAAAACAAAGAATGACTGTACAAGTTTAAAATTTTTAAGATGAACAGATTTACTGTTCAACTTCAAAGTGCTTTGTATTTTAGATATTTTAATTAACATAGCAATGTGAAAATGTGACAGTAAAATGCACAAGAAACTGAAGAAAAAAGGACTAATTGTCTTTACATTTCACTATAGATACAACAATCAGTTCAGTACTCTAACCTATAGAAGCCCATTTCCGCCACGTAAGAAAAAAATTAATGCCTTAAAAAGTAAAAATTATGACATACTTAAGTCATAATTACGAGATAAAAAGTTGAAATTATGACTTAGTCGAAATTATGAGATAA